CTAGAGAATGAGGGGTTCATCTGGGCCCACACCAGGAAAAGGGGGTTGTGGTCTGCACAAATCTGAGAGCATTGTGGATGTCTGCTAAGGACCAGTGATGATGCTGGAAAGCCATATATTTGGTGAAGGAGAAAGACAGGGAGAAATAGAAAATAGTACAAAGAAGGTAAATGTGAAAGTGTGGATTACTGAATCTCCCACATACCACTTGTGCTGTCAGCTGTTCTGGGGAACAGGCACTGAACAGTAGGGGTGCAGAGGTTTATTGGGCAGCAGCACCTGTCTGGGCTGGGAAGGAAGCTGTATCCTAGGAGAGCTGTTCAGCTGGATCCTGGGAGTAGCCAGGCCTTTGTCTTTGTCATGCTCTGACTTGGGTTGGGGCTGCCCAGAGAGGACTAAGTCATTACCTGAGAGCCCTCAGAGACCCTGAGCATGAACAGCTAGAGAGTATCACCTAATGCTACTCTGCCCTCTGAGGGTCTGGGCAGTGTCCATAGCCGCTACACAGCCATGAAGAATTAGGATTCTATTCACAGAGTGACAAAGAGCCATCAGCATGAGTGGGAGCAGTTTTTTAAGTAGAAGTAACATGACTCAGACTTGTGGGCTGTTGCAATTATGCAGTGTGGTTAGCACTCTGCCAAAAACTGTAAGGAGATTGATATATATCTAGGAAAGAAAGTCGTTGTCCATAGGAATTTATTATCTAGATACCCAGAAAGAAAATTAATATATGTGGAGCATTGGTGAATAATAGAGTGCAAAGAAGGGCACAGTGGAGTGCCCAAGAGGGTCGGAGGAGGATATGGCTTCTCATTCAGGTACAGTTCAATAGGAGTTTGAGATAGAAAGGCATTTAGCAGCATTTAATGTCTCCCATGCAGGGGTCCTGGTGGAGGGGGTGATAGTACAAGAGCGCCGTTGCTACAGCCTGATGCAGAAGGGACTTTGCGGGGGTAGGGTAGAGAGCCACCTGGAGTGATTGCACGGATGGTCATAAAGACATCAGGGAGGGCAAAGGAAGAAGAGGGTGGCCCAAGAGGAGAAGCGCCAAGTGGGTACTCAAAGCTGGCTCCAGGCTCAGGTCCCAGTACCCATGGGGATCGGGTTGTTGAAGAGCACAGTGTACATCAGCAGCACTGGGGTCGCCAATAATGGCCTCTAGGTTGACATCAAGGAAGACAAGTCCTGGCAAGAAACAGGAAGCTGCAGGGGTGCCTTGATGTCTGGGGAAAGGTGGAAATAAGTCCTTCAGGTGGCAGCATGCTGGAGAAACTGGGGGGACTGGGTGCCCTTGCTGTGTCTGCTTTTGGCATGCAACCCATTTTATTTTAGTCTCCAAGTTGCACATACGGCTAGCCTTCGTGACTCAGAGCAGAGAGGCAGGATGCAGAAGTCACTCTTCCACAGCACAGCTGGGACTAGAATTTGTCTCTTCTCATCTTCAATCCAGTAATCTGTTCCCAAAGCACAGCTTCTCACACTTTTCACATACAGATTCATCCTTGATTAACACTGTATTTAAACTTTTAAAATGCCACCTTGGTTACTAATGCAGTTCTCTAGGGAGCAGAGGAGCTTATGGAGTGAAATATGGTCTTAAATGTGGCGCTCTAGCTGCCTGGATCCTTCTGGGTCCTGCAGCAGCGCTCGATGATCCAAACAGCCTCCGAGGGTTCTGGGTATGGCAGTGTCCAGGTCAGATCCTATAGAAGGGAAAACAGAAACCATGTCTGAAATGACTTAATTCTGAATGACATGAAGAGCAGGGGAGATGAAGTCATTTCCACCTTTGTCATCTGAAGAAGGACCTGGCTGTGAACAAACTGAGGATCCACACAGATGGAAACCTCACACAGGTAGATCCTGAGCGTTTCTAAAGCCTTTGGTGAATGGCATAGCCTGGTGGTTTATTTGGGTTTTTCTTCCCGCTTGTGCTTGCTCAAAGGAGGGCGGCTTGGCTCCCATTTTAAACTTCTTGATGGAAGAGCTGTATGCACACTGCCAGTGCTCAGCCTGTCACATGCTTCTGGTATTTTCTCATGTGGTGAGAAGCTGTCCTGGTCCTGCTGGCATTGTGCCCAGAACTCCGTGTAGACTGAAAAGACTGACATCTAGCTGGGAAAGGTTTGCTTTGGTGCTAAGTAGGCTAATGTGTGTGTGGTGGAGATTTTGGCCTTGCCCAAAGAAAAAGTCTGGCCTTTGTCCCCAGCTTCTATAAGGCCACCTGTGTCAGATCAGATAGGGTCTGATGTCTATGGGTGGGCTAGAGCCGGTCATACCTGGCAGTCCTGGGGTGGGCTCTCCACAGTGGGAAGACCAGCCTGTGGTCCAGCAGGCTCTGAGTCCTGTAGCAGTCAACTGGAGGCTGAGATCAGTCATGCAGACAGACAGTCCACCAGTCAGTCATACCTGTGCAGTGGGTCCTGGGTGGCCTTGCTGGTTGGCACAGTACCCCATGCATGTTGTCTCATCCATCCTGGGAGGGTAGCATGTCTAGACTCTAGAGAGAGGACACAGAAAGTCCCCAGTTGAAGCTTTTCTGAACTGTATCCAGTGGTCTCTTGACTTCTGACCTGTATTTCTCTGCAGTAAATGGTAACTGGGATTATAAGCATGTCTAGGGCATCCTAGTGAAGTACTGAAACTGAGGGGGTTGGGAGCCCTTCACTTGTGGGTGGCATCAGTAACTGGAGCTATCTGGAGGAACTTCAGATACACTGACAAGAGAGAGAACTTGTGACAAGTGCTTGGCACAAGCACCTTCTACCCTTACTCCATGCACACTGTGGCACTTGTATGTTTGTTAAGTCTAGGCACAAGGAGTCAACCTGGTGACCATGCCAGGTTGATCTGCCATGCCACTGTGATGAAGAGGGCAGCAGGTGTCCAGCCAGGCCCTGGAGTTAGGGAAAGGAGGGAGGTACGGTGCTTGTGCTGGAGCCACAGAAAGGGCCGTGATGGAGAATTGTGGAAGGTAGTGTGGCCCCCTCTATAGCCCGGGCCACATAGCTGTCCCCAGGGTCTAGTCTGTGGCCCGTGCTGGAGACATGGAACCATCTCTTACTAGCTGGGTTTGGCCGGTCCATCCAGGGTACTTGAAGAAACTGTCCAGGTGTGGATGTGGAGAGGGAGAAAGAGGAAGATGGAGCCAGAGTTTCTAAGGAATGACCTGTGTTGGTGACAGTCTTGTCAGCTTTTACGGAGAGGGTTTTCAGCATGTATATTTCTCATCTACAGACTCGAGACATGAGTGAGTGTCTTAGAGCTCCATGTCCACCCTGGGACAACCTCAACACCCCTTTCTGTCCCTTTCCCAGGGCCACGTTCTTTCCAGGCAGCTGGCCCGCACTGGTACTTGAGAGCCACCTGGAGATCTCTGATGAAGTGGCTTCTTGGGCTGTTTCTTGAGGTTAAAGAAACTTCTCCCTGGCAATTGTCTCTGCCTTCATGTAGCCTGTGGACAAAGCTCTGTTGTGGTTTGCTAGTCCTTCCCTATTGTTCTTATTCCTCCTGTCCTTCATGGAGAGCCCGTGGCAGGCATCTGGGGCACCTTGCCCATGGCCCTAGCCTGTGCTCACTGAAGTGAGAGCGGTCAGTCCCCACCATCCTGTGCCAAGTTCACCTTGGTCTTTCCTCCACTGTGGGTCCTGATGATGCCCCACTGCCAGTTACTTTGCAGTCATTCCACAACTGATCCTGGGGCTATGCGTGCAAACCTCCTTGTTGGAACCAGTGTCTCCATGTAGAAGTAGAAATTCTTTCTTGAATTTGGAAAGCTTTTTTTAGACTTATAATGTCACTGCTTTAGAGAATTAGTGTGGTTTCTTCATCTCCTGTCTCTTGTCCCATCACTATGCCTCCTTGAAGAAATAGAAACTATTTTTGTTCCTAAATGAAAAGGCATGGAGAGAGCATGGGTATGGCAGAACCATGTGGAAGTCAGCCTGGCCCCGTGCCCCTTCCTGAAGTGGAGCTTCTGAATGTCGCTCAGACACAGGAATTATTCGAGGCAGTGGGTGACTGCAGTGGGAATTATTAATCTGTTCAATCTTAATAAATAGCAAGGATCACACTCTAGACTCCAAACTAAATTGCTTTGAACATTTTCCTTCTGGGAGAAAAAGTCTCAGTCAGATGTAATTAAGCTTGATACCTGGTGGATAAAATTAAACTTCCTATAGAGCAGGAAGAAATGTGCCCACACCTCATGGTTTTGCACACGCTGTTGCCACTGCCGCCTCCCTTCCTGCTGTAGGACCACGGCCACCCATTCCAGACCAGTGCTCCGTGCGGCTACCCTTCACTGCTCTTTCTAAACTGGCAGCATCCCTGTCACCTCTCGCCCTTTGCGTGTCCTGTCCGCTGCATTTGCCCTCCCCATGTGCACATGTTTATTGCCCACTAGACCATAAGCTGCGCAATTTGGGCCTTGATAAGTCACCTCTGTGCACAGCCCTTTTACCGGAACTCTGGATTATCTGTTGAATGCATGGAAGATAACCAGACCTCATAGGGAGGCCTTCCTTGGCTCTCTGGGGTTGACAGCACACATCTGCAGTGTGGGAGCCACAGAGCGGCTGTGATGGAGAATAGTGGAGGGTGCTGTGGACCCCTTACAGCCCAGCCACACAGCTGTCCCTGGGGTGCAGTCTGTGGCCTGTGCCGCAGATGTGGAACCATGTGTCACCAGCTGAGCTTGGCCCCTCCGTCTAGGGTACATGAAGAGGCTGTCCAGGTGTGGGTGTGGAGAGGGAGAAAGAGGAAGATGGAGGCTGAGCTTCTAAGGAGTGACCTGTGGAGAGTTGTATTCTCCTTGAGAGGGAACTGTGTAGGAACTTTGAAAATCATAGGGGAGGCAAGGAGGTCCTCCTGGCTCCATGCTCAGCCAACCCTCCCCCGGGTCTGAACCTTCGCCCCCCCACCCACCTTCGTCTCCTGCCTCCTTAGCTGTGGCAGTACCCAGATGGCACTAATGGAAAATGCATCATGTTTTCTAGGATTCCTGGCCGGCTGAATGACCGGAGGACTCCTCTGGGTGAGCTGAACTGGATCTTCACAGCTATCACAGACACCATCGCGTGGAATGTGCTCCCCCGGGGTGAGGCTGTGGGCTGGCTGGCCACTTGGGGGCACTGCTGACCCTTGGGTAGGAAAGTGGTTGAAGGGGATCAGTTCATTCTCTGTCAGTGAGGAAAACTGACAGGAACAAGAGGAGGGGGTGAGAAGGACACAGCGGGAGCCTAAGGAGACTTCTGTGAGGAGGAAAGAGTAGCGGTGTGTTGAGCACAGGGAGCAGTGGTCCACAGTGAGCTCAGCATCGGCCCTGTGCTGAGTGTCAGTCCGTGCTTTTCCGGCTGGGCTCAGGGCTTAGCTTTCTTCATGGACTTTGGCACTGTCCCTACTCCCTCAAACCGGAATTGCTATTCTAAGACTTACTTGTATTTTTTTGTTTCTTGGTTGCTCATTTGTATATAAGCTTACATGTGGATGTGTGCCTATGTGTGTATGTGCTTATATACATATGTGTGTTTATGTGTTTGTGTGTTGGGGGGGTGTGTGTGTTTATAGTGGAAATGTGTATTAGTCCCAACCTGTTTATAGTAATTTTGGGTAAATGTAAATTTGTGTATTTGACTTTAAATGGTAGGCACCAATCTCTGAAGACTCCATTTATCTTTTATCTACCCTCAGACCTTTTCCAAAAGCTCTTCAGACAAGACCTGCTGGTGGCGAGTCTATTTCGAAATTTTTTATTGGCAGAAAGGATCATGAGGTCGTACAATTGCACCCCCGTCAGCAGCCCCCGACTCCCACCAACTTACATGCACGCAATGTGGTAAGTGTCCTGGCTGATAGCACTGCTGGTGATAGGTTTGATGGTGTGAACACCCTACTATGGCTGCGTGGGTGTAATGAGCTCTGTGCTCTCAGTAGAGAGGCCTGTTCCCAGACTAAGACAGAGCTGAATAGAATGGGAGGATCTTCAGAAGTGAGAGACACCAAGAACATTTCTACATCAGCAGGCTCAGTGGCTTTAGGCCCGGAAGTTCCCCAGTTCAGAGTGCAGCAGTAGGCACAGGACTGCTAACCATGTAGAGACATATACTGAGAGGAAGAAATTGCTGCCTGGGCCTGTGAAGAACATCCAGGATTGCTCCAAGAATTAAAACCACTGGGCTCAGGACCAGTTAATATGTATGTTTATCTCTCACACACACATTGTAACCTTTTATTGCTGTTGATTATAATTTTCTCCTACTATTTCTTTATACTAATAATATTCATATCAACAACAATAATAATATAATTTTGTTTTAACCTAGACATAGCTGAAGACGTGGTTTCTTCCTCTTTCATTGTTCTCTGTGTTAGCCTTTTGTTACTGTAACAAAATGCCTGAGATAATCAACTGAGAAGGAGGAAAGCTTTACTTTCGCTCACAGTTTCAGAGGTTTCAGTCTGTGGTCTTTTGGCCCCTTGCCTTTGGGTCTATGGTCAGGCTGCTCACTGTGGTAGGCGTGAGTGGTGGAGAAAACTGCTCACTTCATGGCAGCTGAAAGCAAAGAGAGGGGGAGGAGATGCCACAGACTGTGTCCTCTTGGAGGCTGTACCTTCAGTGACCTGACTTCCTCCTACTCGTCCCCTCTTCCCGAAGGGTTCATACCTCCCACGGCACACAGGCTAGAGACCATGTCTGCAATACAGGGGCCTTTGGGGGCACTCCACATCAAAACAACAGCACTTGTAACACAGCTGGGGTTTGGGCAAACTCAAGCATGGGATAACAGGGAAGTCTTGGTTCAGCACATCAGTAGGAGAAACCCTAATACAAAAGTTGAAAGAGCAGTTTGCCTGTATTTAACCTTAAAGTCCATCGCGTGGTTTATTCTGGTGGTCTCACTATTTTGGCTAGTGACTTACGTTTTTAAGTTTGTAAGTGACAGCTTTCCTCCAGCACTGGCTACCCAGAGTAAGGACTGTGTAAACTCACTGCTGTCATCCACTCAAAGACAGTCAGAAACTACATTACTTATATGCAGTAAACCAAAAATGCAGTGTGCCCAGTACACTTGGGATGTCAACACACAATCTGTATACTTTGAACGGGCTTCCGGGGTTAGACAGAGAGCACTGGTGGAGAGGAACAAGGAAGCTGAAGTAGACCACTGTAGAAGCGCTGCTAACAGCATCTCAAACAATGTACATAGGACACAGCATGACAGATTCGCTTTTCAAGATGTCATAAGTGACAGACCTGACAGAGAGCCACTGTAATACACTTAGCAAATAATTACACATTTGTGGGCTACTTAGAGTAAACATTTTTGTGAGAGTACATACTTAAGACAGCCTTTCTCGGTGGCATGGTGGCACACACCTGTAATCCCAGCACTCTGGGAGGCTGAAACAAGAGGATCACAAATTTTAGTGCTCCTGGGCAACTTGGAGACCCTGTCTAAAAAAAGAAAGAGAGGGGCCAGGGATTTAGCTCAGTAGTTCCGCTGCCCGCCTCAAAAGCACAAGGCCCTGAGTTCGATCCCCGGTACCAAAAAAAAAGAAAGCTTTAGTCCCTTAAGAAAAGTAATGCCTTACATCCTATTTCTTCCAATTCAGGTTTTTAAAAAAATTTTATTATAAAAAGGAAAGGTAAAAAAATAAATAAAAAGTCCCGAAGGGTCAGTGGTACACTTGGTCACAAATTGACAAGCACCTCAGCACTAGGAGTGTGGTACCCTGCCTACCAGAGTGCCCTCATGAGGTGCAAGAAGTCACCAGCTCTCCTCCTCATCTTGCTCCCACCTGACTGCTTTAGAAATAAACCCCTGGAAACATGTTCCTTTTTAGCATCTTTTTTTTTCTGAATGTAAAAATGCCTCCTTTAGGATATATTTGGCTGCCTAGTGTTAAAAAAAAAATAGAAGCCAAACACAGTGCTACGTACGTGTCAGACCACCCAACTGAGAGGCTGAGGCAGGAGGACTGCAAGTTTGAGGCCACCTTGGGCAACTTAGTGAGATCTTGTCTCAAAATAAAAAGGTCAGGGGCTGTAGTTCAGTGATGGAGCTCTTGCTCAGCATGCATAAGATCCTGGGTTCAGTTGCCAATGCTACCAAAAAAAAATGTTCATTGCCTTGGGGTGGAAAGTAAAAGACCAGAGGCTGAGTAGAAAAACAGAAGGAACAGCAAGGGCTGATGGGACCAGGAAAAGTAGCACTTGGGATGACCAGTGCAGGACAGCCACATCTGTCCCCATCATTCCAGAGGTAGGTAGGTAGGTAGGTTGGTTGGTTCGTTCATTTGTTTGTTTGTTTGTTTGTGGGGGTTGTTGCTGCTGTCCTTCTAACTACTTCTGAACTCTGGAGTTGGTCCATGCACTGTGTTTATACAATTCCAGGCTGAGAGAAGCCAGGTCCTTCCCTGCCCTGCAGCTAACATCTCGGCACTAGCCTGGAGCCTGGGAGCAAGGCCCTTACCTTGTGAGCTTCTTGAAGCTGGTCCTCAGTGGTGGTCCTCACTGTGCTAGATGCATGAGGTGCCATGTCAGCCCACAGAGGCCCAGAGAAGCCTGGGGAAAGCTTGCACCCCTGGGTCCCCAGGGCTGTGCAATGATTGACTTCTCGTGTCATGCGTGCACACTCACCTCTTTCTCTCTCCTGACTCCGACCTCCTAAGCATCACAGCGGTCATCCAGGGTAACATGTGCCTTGACTTGTGGTCCACCACCCTGCAGAGCACCACTGTGGACTCGTGTCCTCCCTTTCCATTTTGAGGCTAATTCTGTATGTGTCAGGTTGGGTTGCCAAGGGGACAGACCCTGAGATGGGTCACAGAGGTCATGAGGCTGCTCAGAAGCACAAAGAGAAGGGGCACTCAGGGTTGGGCAGAGAGGAAAGCTGTGTCCCACCCAGTTTCAGTACTGGTCTCAGCCCCCTAGGAAGCTTTGAGGGTGGGCTAGGAGGCAAGGCCGGGTTCTTGCCCAATCAGTGGAGCCCGTCACAGGCAGCCACCTGCAAAGACCCTGGTGGCCCAGAGCTGTCCACCTGCAGCAAGGCAGGGAAACCACTGACCTGCAGGGGCCCTGCCCAAGCACTCAGGTCAGTTTCTTATGTAAGAAAAAATTTTATACCTCCAGACCCCATTCAGTGGGTCCCTCGGAGATCAGAAGGCAGAACGCAGAGTTTCTCTCCTGCACAGGCTCAGTGCTCTGGCTCCCACCCAACCTGTTCCAAGAAGCACATTTCCTTTCCCCACCCAAAGGTTTTTCCCATCGGTTTTGCGTAGCTTGTCACCAGGCCCTATCAAGGTCCACAGCAGTGACCACAGGGCTGGACTTGATAAGGCAACCTGCAGCAGCCCGCCTCGGTGAGATCCCAGTGCTGCCCAGCCCCCAACCTGGTCAGTGGGGGAATCCCATTAACTTGAGGGTGTGACAGGAACAGCCTGTGCTTCTGAGCTGAGGGGCAAGATGCCCTCTCCCTGTAGTGGGGTGTCACCACCAGGAAGGGTAAAGGCCGCGCAGCAGGGTCCTTTCCACTCCCACCTCCTCCCACACTTCTGACTGGCCTGTAATTAGACATGATGGACAGTTCAGGTGACAAACTGGAAACAGAGCAAGCTGAGGGGCAGAGGTGGTGTGTGCATGCTGGGCCACCTTTCGTTGCCTAGCAGTGGCTGGGAACCACCTGAGTCCAGACTGGGGGAAGGCACTGGTTTGGGGCTTTCACCTTCATGTGGCTAAAGCGGCATCCTGTGCCTTGCGTTCTTAGTTCTTTTTTCTTGTTTAAACCCAGGCCTTAAGCATGTGTTTTGTGAACTATTTTGGCTTCTGACATAGACATGCAGACTCCTCCGTCAGTCACTTGGCCTCACCAAAAGAAATAGCTAAATGTGGAAAAGGCATGGCAACCTAGACTTCCTAAAAGAGCAGTGAATTTGAAGGCCCTGGGGAGCAAATGTGCTGAAATGGAAAGATTGTGCTGAAAGAAAACAAGTCTAATTCACAAATTACATACAAATTGTAGGCTGCTCTCTGATGGACGTACTGCTCTAGTTAGTAATAGAAAATCCCTCCAAGCATCACAATGTGGAAAATGGAAATTTTGGAGTCTGAAAAGTGCTCAGGCATGTAATCATTATCTAGTGCTGCAAACAGTGTTGCTGTAAGCTCAGTGGCTCAGTGCACATGCTACCATGTCACAGTTTCTGAGGGGCAGGTCCTCCACACAGTCCCACCTGGCTCACTGCCACCAGAGGCCTCTGCCTTCCTCCCAATGGCCCCGTGTGGTCTCCCATCCACAACCAGCAAGGGAGGTGAAGGTCCCAGCCTGCTGTCATGCCCCACACAATCACATCCACTGGATCTCAGGCAGCTGGCCACCTTTACGATATGCTGCTGTCAGCAGAAGTCATAGGCCTTGGCCACACCAAGGGTTGGGGCTGCAGCAGGAGCCAGGTCATCATGCCACCGGCAGTTTCTTCACATAAGGAGCATCTTGCAAGGGCAGAGCATTTGGGAACTGTGCGGAAGGCACACAGTGGGAGAGGCCACAGGTGACTGGAGAGTGTACAGAAGCAAGAAGGAAACAGCGGGGGCTGGGAAATGACCTTCCCTGAGGCATGTGGGTCATTGCCAGCGATTCCAGTGGTGTATTTTCTAGGTGCCTGGTGTGTGTCAGCATGTGTTGAAGCCCTTTGTGGGTGGAGCCGCTCTCTGTGGCAGTGCAGTACACAGGTATTGGTCAGATGCCTGTTTCACAGATGAGAACTGAGGCTCAGGCTGCATGGTGTGGCTGACGTGTTGATGCGTGTGCATGCCATCTTCAGGACCTGATGGCC